GAGATTAAAGGAGCGAGAGAGAGAGAGAGAAAAATATTATTAAAAGTTATTTTTAGTGAAAATCTTAAATATTAACAAAAACTAAATCAACTCATTTTTACATATAAAATTTAAATTTTGCCTTCATCTCATTCCTAAAACAGGAACACACACACATACTCCTTTCCTAAACTACTCAACAATTTAACACCGGATATAGGCGTAATTTTCAATAAAGATGAACAAAAAAAAAAAAGGAACAAATATTAAAAATAAAATTAAATTTATGACACTGAAGATCTTAAAATACCAAAAACCTACAATTAATAAATTAAAATAATTTTCTAAATTTTCCTTACATAAAAAATCAAAAACTCAAAAAAAAAATTATAGTTTTCAACTCACCACAGGAATGTTCTCAATATTTCAAAAAAAAAAAAAAAAAAAATTTTGACAACTTTATTATAATTATCATAATTTTAACTAATTTATATGTGTACGTATGTATGTAATAGGTATAGACCAATATTTCTTCTCTTAATATCATCATTAATTCATTTTCTAATTTTCATAATAATGTTGGTTGATCTGTTAAACAAAAACAAAGCATAATTTTACTTACATATTTTGTTTTGTTTTACATTTCAGTTTTTAAAAGAGGTGCGGTGCCAAACGGTGTGCAATAGCATGCATTAAAATGTAATATTGAATGATTCGCTTACCGCCTTAATAGCCTCGCCGGATGCTTTTTTATACTCTTTTTTGATTTTTCGTTTTTATGTGTGCTTTTCCATTCTATATAAACTTTTTGTTTACGCTATGGATGGGGAGTAAAAATTTACAAAAAAGAAAAAAAAAAATTGTTTTAATTTTTTGAATTCAATCGAAGAAGAACTTTTGAAACTAACGAAATGATTGACTGACTGGGCCAAGTGGTTGGCTGATAGAGCTTAACAATCAGTATATTTTTTTTAGCCCAAAAACTAAAAACAACAGAAACAGAGAAAAACAAAAATATTTCAATATTGAAAATATTTATTACATTTTTTTTTTTAAATATGCGAGTGCAATTCATTTTAAAAATAAAAAAATTATATAAATAAAAGATAATATGTAATATTTTAGGTAATTTTTCAATTAAACTGAGCTGGCAAGTCTTGGAATATTAAAAGAATTAAACTATGAACAGCAAATTGTAAAATATGAAATGGAAGGGTCGCTAGACAAAATGTAAAATACTAGAAATTCTTCAGAAAATTCGTATAATACAACCGATACTGCCAATAAGAAGCCTCGCTTAGATTGGAACACTTTTTTTCCCGCTGCCATATACTGCTTAAAAAATTCATCAAAATTTTCATCTTTACCCTAGCATAATAAAAAATTAGTAAGTGTTAGTATTTAAATACTGAGTATCTATGTAAATTTTTCTCTAAAAATATTTTAAAATTATTATGCATTCAGGTTTTTCAATAAAGTAAGGTTAAAAATCAAAGAATATCGAATTTAAAGATATTTTAATTTGAAGAAATTCATTGAGAAATATAAGAAAATTGAGAATTTTCATCTTACATTTCTATTCAATCAATAACTTAAGAGCGAACATCAATCTGGCGGTTACCCATATGGCTCTAACAGTTAATTTAAATTCCTGACTTAAGTGTCACAATTTATTTGGGTTGTTCTTCAAAACAAGCAATGGCAAAATAATTAAACAACTATAATTCATAAATTTAATTAACAAATTTTAAATTAATTCCTTAATATTCTATTTTTTCGATACCAAAATTCTTTTATGCTACAACTGCACTTAAGATGTGAGAAGATAATCGAAAACACTAGATGTAAAAAAGGGATGAAATTTGTTTTAATTTCAGAAAATTTAATTTTCTTACAGCTAGCTGGTTTGTATGTGCTAGTTGATTTTTAAATAATGATAAGGAAACTTCTATATTTTTCTTGTTACCTATAGTATTTTTTGCACACACAATTTAAAAATGATTAAAAACAAAAAAAACAATCATCAAAAGAATGAAAAATATTTTTATTCAAGGGAGCGTTTCAGTTTCAATTTAAAAAAGGTTTTTTTTTTATTTTTTTGGGAAACGCTTTAGATATGGAAAAATATTTCGTGTACACCTTTTGTTTCTTTTTCTACTTTTATTTTTGTTTCTGTATCGATTGAGTGAATTTCAAAGTCTGGTAAATTTATTTGCTTTTTTTTCGTAATCATTATTTTCATTTAAATCGTATTTATTTCACATTTTTTTCTTCTATGTGTTCTTATTACGCTACTGCCCTCAACAATCTAGTATAACTAATAGGTTTATTTTTTTTTTTTTATTAAGTATTTAAAGATGACGAAAAACTTCTACTTACTTAAAATATTATAAACGGATGAATTATTATAATGAATTTTTGGTATTTCATTTATGATTTTTTTTTAGTTTTGTAAGAAAAATTATGAATAAATAAGTAATTTTAAGCTGCAATTAACAACGTTGCATACAAACAATTGGAACTGAAATTAAATGGAATTTATAAATGCTACAAAATTGATTGGGTACTGTGTTGATACTATCCAGCAATTAGTCTCTCAGCAAATATCTCTCTAAGAGTTTTCTAAATTTCCTTTATACATATGTGATGTAAGCGGTTTTCCTTAATCTTTTTGTAGTTAACAATATGTTAATCTATCTATTATTAGTAATTGCAAAGTTTTAGTTATACCAAACAGTATGTTAAAGTAATTAAAGTCTTCGCACCGGAATACTATAATTAAGATATGGGGAGAGTTAAATTAAATCATAGCTGGCTGCGGTGGTCGGACTGATGGAACTCGTATTGCTTTACCCATATCTTTCTACAGTAATCAATAATTTACAATCTACAATTAAAATCATCAATAAAAATCATTATTCGAAGCATTATTTTATATATTTCCAATGTTGTTTCGAAATTCTCTCATCAGTAACCATTTACTTAAGTTTTCATTTGATACTGCTACCTTCATAAAACCTAAAATCCTAAAAATATAAAAAAAAAATTAATTTAAAAATAAGTCTAATAAAAATTTTTAAAAACACAATTACCATACCTTTGGAGCCTTGGTAATCATTATAGGTATTACATACTTAATATTCATTATTAAAATTTTCTTTTAAATCAGCAGATGCGATAAAAATATTAAATAACACTTACAAAATAATATATATATATTTATAAATTAATAAAATTAAAGAATTAATTAAAGAATTATTTTATATTTTTATTATGCTACTAAAATTTTCTGTTTAAAAATTTAAAATACAACAATTATAATTTCAATGCCCTCAACATTTAGTTTTTTTCCGTCTTCTTTTAATTGAGATTTGTGACACTGATATTCAAATTGATTGTAGATTTTTGGCAGGATATCGTGTTATAATATAATAATTTTCTTATCTTTTATAAATGTCATGATAAGATGTAAGAGAACAGATAGCTGAGATATCTAAAAAAAAACAAAAAAATTGAAAATTTCAATAATGTGAAAAGGAAATCAATGGTAGCCAAAATTACCTTTAAAAAATACCTTGAGGGTGTCTTTGAAATTATTTTTATTGATAATTTTTCTGTTTTTTTTTTTTTGACAATTTTATCTTTACACATTCTTTTTACCTGTCGTCTTCAATCGATTTGCATTAAAGTGTATTGATTTAAAATTAAATATTTCTAAAATAACTTTTTGTAACTACTGAATAAGAAGCAAAATGCCCCCCGGGGTTTGCCAAAAAAAAAAAATAAAATAAAATATAAAAATTGAATTTTTTTATCGTTTGACTTTTTAGTTTTTTTTTTTTTTTTTTTGTTAAAGGACTAACTAACTTGTTAATTCTAAGCATAATTAAATTTAAAAAGGGTAAGACTTTAATGATAATGGCATATTATGCATGAATAAATTTTAATATAAGTTTGAACATTTTGTTTTTTATTTAATTTTTATAATTTAATCAGGTTCAAATTACTAAAATTAACTTCCAAAAAAAACAAAAGGTAATTTTCAATATAAAAATTAAGCATTTCCTTTTTGTGAACAAAATTTTTTCGAAATTTCTTTAAAAAATTAATTTTATAATCGTTTAACAAAATAAAGTTCAAGGTGATATGAAAATTTTTTATGAAAAATAATTTATGCAAAAAATATATATTTAATTGGATACTTTTAATACCTAAAGCTAAATATCCAGCCTAATTTTTATGACGTACTTTTCTAATGGCTCCAACAAAAACTAAACACACTTGAATGCAAAATATTCAATAATTAAAGAGTTTAGTTATGAAAATTTATCTTAAAAATTTATTCTTTGCTAAAATTTTATTGATTTAACTTGCAATTCTTTGTTATTAATATAATCAGCCTACCAAGTCTTAAATATCTGGTTGAAAAATGAGAATTCTAAATGAATAACTAAAATGATTGATTTGAAATTTAAATACAATTTAAAAAATGAAAAATTACAAGAGGATTTTCGATAAATCAGATATGCATTTAAAGTTCTAACTTAAAATCTTAAAAATCTTTAATTGAATTATTACAGATCTACTGGAACTAATTAGTTTAGTTTTTCAGATTTTTAATATCTTACATTCTTATATTGAACATGCTTTATATTAAGATCTAAATTAGAATTAAATTTTCAAAAAATCCACGACTATTACAAAAAAACTTACTATATACTATTAAATACAATTTTATAATATAATTATAATGAGCAAGAAATATATTAAATTTATTTTATGTCCGTTTTAGGAATTATGACCAATTACTGTATCTAAAACAATATTTTTCCATAATTTATAAAAAAAAAAAACTCATATCTACCAAAAGAAAATTATTATTCATATAATTTTATTAAATATTAATTGATTCATTTATTAAATAAATTTTCGATTTTGAAAAAAAATTTTTAAAAAATTAATTAATTTTTTTATTTAATAATAAATACTTAATAAACAAATAAAATATAATTATATTTTACTTTTACATTTTTTTTTTTGTTTTTGTTCGTAATAAAATAGGAAAAATCATCATTATTACATTTAATTGATTTTTTTAATTAAAATTTCGAATACAAAAGAAAAATATTATTATTTCTCATTAAAAACAAAATCACTTAGTTGAAGCCGAATTTTCAAAGAAAAAAAAAAAAAAACGAAAATTAAATTGATATCATTACTAATAGGATCATTTTTTTTTTAAACAACTCTATCTATCCAATCAGATAACTGACTAAGCTCTTGATTTTGTGCAGAACATTCATAAAATTCAATTTTTTGAGGTAGTTGTACAAATTCAAAATCTTTTCCTTGTTTACCCAAATACACATTATTCGAATCTGTATTATCAACTGATTTTAATTGACTGGTTCGTGTTGTTCTAACTAAATTCCTAAAAAAAGATAATTTATTAATTAATTTGAATAAATATTGTTCATATTAAATTTATTTTAGTTATGTTAAAAAAAAATTAATAATTATTTTAGAATTATATACAACTAGTTTTATTATTTTATTATTAGTAAAATTAATATGAGTGTGAAATGGTAATTAATTAAATTGAAAACCCAAACTTCTAAATTCCAATAATAAGTACACACATACTTAATATTTGTTCACAATTTCTTTTATGAATGACTTGTCTTTTGTTTATTTTTAAAAATTTTGGTCTCGGAGAGAATTAATAAATATTTTTTTATATAAACATTTAACAGAGTATTTTAACACAAATATACTGTAACTATTTATTTATTTGTTGATAACGAAGTTTTTCATTACAAGCTTTTTAACGCAGGAAGAATTTTTAAGAATAACTTATAAAAATATCAAATCATTAATTAGTTTTCATAACGTAGATATAAACAAAATATGCAAACCAAAATGATAACCATAATAGAAAAATATATTATTATTTAATAAATAATTTTTTACAATTAAATAATAAATTTATCAAAAATAATATTTTGAAGATTACGGATATAATTAACCGAGAAATGCCAATACTTTTGGGAAAAATTTTAAGGTTATGTTTAAAAATTTGATTGTAAATAAAGAATTTTTTTTTACATATGAGTGCGACATATGAATAAATTTGCATAAATTCTGCTCTTAAATAGCTTCATAATTCAAAATAATTTTTTTTTTTTTCAATATGATGGTCTATTTTATAGAATAAAAAAGTGTTATGTGTGTGAAAATATACAAATCACACTCCTAACATATAATATAAATATTATGCTAATTATTAAAATATGCAAATTATGTTTGAAATAAATATTAGCTTTAGAATATATTATAAATTTTAAGTAAATGTAAAGTATGTATAATAGAAAATATTAAACGAAATTATTCAGTTGCTCCATAAACATTGGCATAAAATCATATGATTTCTGTTTTATTCTAGAAAGAATATTATGCTTTGATTATGGATATGTATTTTAAAAATTGCAATTAGGGAAACAACGGTTGTGATTTCTAAAAAAAAAAAAAAAAGAAAAATTAAATATACACGTTCACTGTTAAATCTTCTTTAAGATTTCGAAACAATACCAAAAATTTTGATAATTTTCTACAAAGATAGCATTTATTTCTTTTTCTTTTTTGCATCATAATACCGGTTTTCTCCGAAAATTTTAGAAAGATACAACAAAACAGAAAAAAAAAATGAAAGATGAAAAGAAACATTAAAGAGAAATTTCTACAAATTATGTAAAATAACCAAAAAAAATATATATGTAAAAAGGGAAACAAAATTTGACGAATATTTGCAAGTGTGTTTTATAAATTAATTAAAAATTTTTATAGGAAAGATTTAATGATGTAGGTTAATGATGATGTTTCAGTAGGTAGCTATGTATATACTTACATTTCTTTTTCTAATAAATTTTTAATAACAGCACAACCCTTTGCCATTGTTTCATCTTGTTTATTACATAAAATTAACATTGGACATTTAGAAATTGTATTATCTGCCAAAATCGTATATAAATAACTAAAAAAAATAAAATATTAAATAATATTGTTAAATAAATAAATTAATTACATTTAAAACTTACTCGGCTACATCTCTTACATCCCTTTGAAATGTTACACTATCAACAACAAAAACTATTCCCTTAGCATTATTTTTATATTTTTCAAAAAATTTTGATCTTAATCTTTCATTACCAGGTATATCAATTACTCTTACAATACATTTACCACAATTATATTCACCAATATTTTCAGCTATTGATGTAAATGTCGATACAGCTTTTGAATAAAGAAGTTGTGAAAATACAAATGTTTTACCAGAATCACATAGACCGGTCAATAAAAAATCGGTTTTTGATGATTTACTCTTTTTATAAAGATATAATAATACTAAAAAAAAAAAAGAAAAACAAAGAGAAGAACAAGAAAAACTCAATTAATTACAATTAACAATTATGTTGGGAAAAAAACAAAAAAAAAAAGTACAACATAAAAAGAAAAAAATAAACTTAGTTATGACCTGAAAGTAGGTTAAAGGGATAAATAAGGTATAAAGCTACATAAATTGAAAATAAATATATGTATATATATATTAGTACTTATGGATATAAGATGTACAACACATCATGTTTTATTTGTGTTAAAGAATTTAAAAAAAAACTTACCAATTGTGAATAGAACAGCTAATATTCCTATTATTACTGGTGTTATTTCAAAATCACCAATTTTAAATACATATTTTTGGTCTTCTATTTTGGTTTCTTTTTCCATTTTAATATTTCAAAATAAATTTCACTTAAAATAAAGTTCTTAAAGAAACTTAGTTCAGCACTTAACCATGAAATACAACAAAGTAGCAACGAATGAATAAAAATTCTAAACGTCACCAAATCAAAACATATAAAAAAATTAAAAAACTTATGATAGTGTTACCGTTTATAAGAAAATTGATAATTTCAATACTGCCATTTTTTGTTTTTCTAAAATGTCATAATGAATATTGAATTTTTATTTAATATTTTAATCAAATTAATGTTATTATCATCGCATATTTTATAAATTATTACGTGTGCTTCACAATTATTTACGTGAGCTTCTCATTACGTAGGTTGAATTGTACTAAATTTAAATATTTCATTTGTAAATTACGAATAAAATTTTATACTGAAATTTCAATTTGAAAATAAAAGTTTTCATTGTATGATTGATTATGCAACAAATATTTTGTTTATTTTGCATCTACATAATTTATGTCAAATTCTCTAATACGTCATATGAATGGATCTGCTCTTCAAAACTGCAAAATTTGATAACTTCAAAAATATTAGCTAAAACGCCTTATAAAATACAATAAGAATGCAGCAATAAAATACAATTACATACAATAAAAAAAAATAAATGACACTGTCAAAATCAATAATATATGACAGGCAGCATCTGCAAAAATATAAAATAAACTAATTTTGAATTTGCAATTTGCGGTTGAATTTCCAATGTGTTCAAGAATGTTTTCAAACAACTAGTTTTCTAATTTGAAAAATAAAATCAAATATTTTCTTTAGGGTATTAAGAAATGTCAAATTTGACAATTATGTGGATTTCTTTTAGAAATTGTAAATAAAATAAATCCTCATTTTCAAAAATTTTTCAATTTGAAATTGAATTTGGAAATTTTTTTTTGTTTTGATTTAACTACAATTTGAAAGGTAGAAAGATAACACCATCTAGTGTGCTAATGATGAAGTATGTATCAGAAAACTAGAAAACATGTTTAGTACCAATTTTTAGTACACAATTTATTGAAAATCAGAACCACTATTGAGAGTGCGCTGCTATATTGGTTGTTGGATAGAGTATGAAGAGAGAACGATTTGGTTTGCATATTAGCTAAAAAAAAGAAGAAATGAAACGATAAGTTTTGAATTATAAAACGTCAGTCAACTTTTGTTTTGACGTTTCATAAATTACAACAAAATATAAACAAACGTTGCGAATGCGTGGTAGGAATATTTTTGTTTTACAAAAATAAACTCAAAAACAAAAACATTTTAAAATTAAATTACAAAATATATTTGCAAAATTGTTAAAATAATGAGTGAAGAAACTGTCTCGGGTGAAGAATATACTTTAGATGTAGATTCTGAATTAAGATTCGAAATAGAATCTAAGGATTCTAAAGTTGTAGTTGAGGTAACCCAACCATTTTTTTTTAAATATTTCAAAATATTGGAAATAAACAAATATTTATTATTCTTAGCTAAAATCAGGTCAAGCAGAAATGTTTGGAACAGAATTAGTTAAAAGTAAAACTTATGAATTCCAAACAGGTGCTAAAGTAGCTATATTTACATATCATGGGTGTGTTGTAAAACTTAAAGGCAAACCGGATGTTAATTATATATCAAAAGAAACTCCAATGGTTTCATATTTAAATTGTCATGCTGCATTAGAACAATTACGACAATCAGCTGATGAAAATGATTCTCGTGGACCTGTTGTAATGATTGTTGGACCACAAGATGTTGGAAAAACAACATTATGTCGAATATTTTTAAATTATGCTGTACGTCTTGGTCGTAGACCACTTTATGTTGATTTAGATGTAGGTCAAGGAGCAATTTCAATACCTGGCACAATTGGTAGTGTACTTATAGAAAGACCAGCATCTTTAGAAGAAGGATTTTCACAAACGGCACCTTTAGTTTATCATTTTGGACATAAATCACCAGGTGAAAATGATGCTTTATATAGAACAATTGTTTCAAAAATGGCTGAAGTTTGTCTTGAATCAATGAATGTCAATAAAAGAAGTAAGAAATTAATATATTAATTTTGTTTATAAATTTAATTGTTTATATTGTGTTTTTAGATAAGTCATCTGGTATAATAATAAATACATGCGGTTGGGTTAAAGGTGCCGGTTATAAACATTTATTACATACAGCTAGTGCATTTGAAGTTGTAGGAATATTTGTATTAGATCAAGAGAGATTATATAATGAACTTTTAAGAGATATTCCATCATTTGTAAGAGTTGTTTTATTACAAAAAAGCGGTGGTGTTGTAGAACGTAGTGGTGCTATTCGAATCGAAGCAAGGGATCAAAGAATTAAAGAATATTTTTATGGATCCCGAACACCATTATATCCATTTTCTTTTGATGTTAAATTTGCTGATTTAAAAATATATAAAATTGGTGCTCCGCCTTTACCAGATTCTTGTATGCCAATTGGAATGAAAGTAAATTTATATTTAATTTGAAAATTTCGATTTTTAATTGAGATTGATTTTTTTATTTTTTAGGCTGAAGATAATAAAACAAAATTAGTTGCAGTACAACCTGGACCAGCTATGTTACATCATATATTAGCAGTTAGTTTTGCTGAATCAACTGAAGAAGAAGTTATTACAACTAATGTTGCCGGATTTATTTGTGTGTAAGTATTAAATAAGTGATTTATTTTGATTCTATTATATTTATATATATATTTTTTTTTTGTGAAATTTTAGAACTCAAGTTGATATGGATCGACAAGTAATCACAGTATTATCACCACAACCGAGACCATTGCCAAATACAATTTTGTTGCTTTCAGAACTTCAATTTATGGATAGTCACTGACGAAGGGGGAACATTTATAGTTTTAGGCGCTGCTGATAAATTTATTTTTAATATAATTTAAATATTATTATTATTAAATTAAAAAATGCGATTTTAATTTTGTAGCTTCAGTTTGTAAAATACTACATTATATTTTGTTTTTAAATTCATATTCATAATGAATCGAGATGTGAATAATATAAATCAATAAATATGTAAAATATGTATGTAAAATTAAAAGAATTGAAATAATACTACTAATATTGTTGTAAGGTGTTCAATAAAAAATTGTATTATATGTAGTAAATGAGTAATAAATTCAGATTTTATAATATTTTTGTAAAAAGCGAAGAGGAATTATTAAACTAATGAGATTGCAATTAAACTATGAATTATTAATTTACTGATTATTTAGAAATCACAGAATTTATAAACATATAGTATAGACAGTAAAATTTGAGTTTAAATTGTTTAAGGAAATGTACATCTTATAAATGCATTTTGATGTATTTTTATAATTAATAAATTTAGAAATCAATTTACAAAAGAAAGAACATAATAAAGCTTCGGATCTGATCAACAATTATATTCAAATATTTAATTTCTTTTTATGTCATGCGAGAAAACAACTGATATAGGAATGTGTTATCATTCGAAATGATTTATTTAATGTTATTAACTATTTGACCTAGAGATTTACTTTATAATTGAAGACAAAAATTTGTAACATTTACCAAAAACAGATAATTTTATATAAGTACCTATCAATGCAGTTATTAACTATAGTTCGTTAAATTAGAACATACAATTTAATTAAGTTGAATAACCAATTTAATGAATGGATAAGCCAAATTTTTTGATAACTAAAAATTTTCTAAAATTTTATTGCACAAAATTAAATTTACAAAGAGTAGATATTCTAATTATTAAATTGAAGTTTTTAGGTAGCAGTATAGGTAGATAGGTAAATACATCATGATTTTTTACTCAATATTTTGTTACCTAAACTCCTTTTATCAAAGGATATAATTTCATTTTTTTTATTATTCTTTTACATATTAAACGTAAACCTAATATTAATTTTTGATTAGATAAAAAAACAAAAACAAAATGTAAAATTTTTGCAGATGTGCTTTTCAGATTTTTCGAATACACCTATTGATTTCTAAAAATTATAGCACTAAATTAATAACTTTCTGAATTTGAGTTTGGAAGATGTGATTATTCAGTAGTTTTTATTCTTTTCATTTGAATTATTCTTATTTTCAATTCATTATGCTTGTATAAAAAGAAAAAAACATTTCGTTTTTTTTTTTGTGAATTTTCTTAAGAATTTTATTAATACTTACCTAATCTGCAGAAATATATATAAATTATAGGTTTAACCAATCACTCATCACACAAACTAATTTAAGAGCAATAATCAATCAGCAGGTTGAATACAAGAAGAGCATCTGAGAATTTCTTCCATAAGTGCACAATCAAATCAATAAATTTATGATTATTGTAGCTTTGTATTTAAAATTCTATAATAAAAAAAAAAAACAGCAAGAAATCTATGATTATGTATTCAGGTAAGTATTCATTTTGAAAATTTATTTCCAGAAATAAAAACTAAAAAAATAATATTATAGTCTTCCACCTTCAATTTTTCCACATCATGCAGATGAAATCATTTATGCATAAATTTTTTTTTTATTTTGGTTTCTGAACTCAAAAAACTGTGCTAGGCAAAGAATATGGTAGGTAAGAATATTTTGTTAAGTCAGCAGAAACATTATTAATGATATACCAAAAATGTTTGTATTGATAGATGATCGGGAGAGATTGGTTTGGTTGGTTATTGGATCAAAAATTATGCACGGACGGAAATCGATTTTTTTTTTCTTTTTAACTTTGAATTCACTTTTTTCCTTTTTTTTTTTTTGTTGTTAGAAATTTTTTTTTTTTGTGTAAAAATTTTTGTGAACATTAAAATTTAATGTTTAATGATCCAAAACGGAAGCTTTGAATATTATATTGAACATTCAAGTAGCTATGTACATACATATATAATTTTTTTTAACACAATATTTACTTTGAATATAAAAAATGATATACAAATGGATTTTGTGTTTAATAAATGGTAACCATATTAAAGCGGTAAACATACTTATTGTGTAGGTATATAAACGAGCGTGTGTTATGAGTATGAAAATATATATTATATTTTTTGTTGGTTAAAATTAAGTGGGGTCACATTATAATTTCATTTTCAAAGATATATAATAATATGTAAATTGTGTATGTATGTATGTTGAAGAGTATATTATAACGTTAAAGTAAAGGGATATTTAATACCTGTTTACCTGTTACAGGGTTATAGATATTGATTTCTTTATGATATGTTGATATGCTTGGTGACTGACAATAATACCAAAATTGTAATAGGTTTGAAAAATATATGGGGAAAAAATTCCTAAAACATGGAATATACATGAGTCTGTAGGGTAGTTATGAAGAATGTTTAATGAAAAAATTTTGATGAATAAAAAAAGAAGAGATGTGAGTTGATAAGATTAATTATAGAAGCAATTCCCCAAAACTAAATGTACCTAAAAAATTTTGAGTAGGTTTTATATAATAAAAGAATTTATCGAAATATTCAGGTTAGAATATTTTACTTTTACAATATTGTTTAATTATAAGTGAGTATATTTTAAAAAAAGTCATAAAATATTATGTAAGCTTTTGAAGAACCAAAAGCTATTATGATTTTGAATATGTTTTACGAGAATTTGAATATGTTTTTCATACATAAAATCTTGATTTATTAAAGAGCCAATCGGGATTTAGGTTTTTTTATCAAGAAACGATAACCTTATAGATACAACCATATCTTTTTACCAAGAAGAGGCTCCGAAGCCGAGACTTATTGCATTAAAAGTAATTACTTTTGAATATCTAAAATCAGAAACTTAGTCGTATTTCAAAGAAGAAAGCGATTGAGAATTTTATTCCATAAACAACAATTTACTTTGTCAAATTAGGGCAGGACATAAATTTTAATAAAAATTTTTGGTTATATCTTGAATTTCGGCAACATGAATTATAAAATTAGTGTTAGACTTAAAATATTTAATTTTTAATAAAAAATAATTTCAATATTTAAAATTCAAAAAATGAGGCATAATATTTCATTATGGTACTGTTGTATAAAAAATTATTATCAAGTAATTTAATTTATTGAAAAAAATTTTTGTAAAATAGTTTTAATTTAAGGTGGCACTACATTATATTTATAAATAATGCAGTACATACTAATGTTGCACCTGTAAATATGCAATTTTTTTAAAAATATTTTTTACAAAATTATAAATTGAATTCAGTTTAAAAAAGTTTCTACATTATATAACAAGATTTATAAGATTTTTAAATTGCTGTAGAAAATTAATTTAAATTTTATTTTTTCAAAAAATGATAATAAACTCAGTTACTATTATGTACAAATAAATAAAATTAGAGAAATGAAATTAGAATTTAAAAAAATATTTTTAAGAAATATGATTATTTTTTCTACATTATTAATTTGGGACTTGTTTCAAATGTACCTATATAATTTCCATGTATGTAAGAATAAATTTGCTTTTATATATCAACATCAAAAGAAATTGAGAAAATTTTGTTTGAACATAATAAAAATTAAAAAAGAAAAATTTTAAATGAATGTTTGTACACTAATTATGTTACACATAGATACATACACACATAGATACACATGTACTTAAGTTATATTCAAATATCGTTTATTATTCATAATAAAGAGCTTAAAAACACAAAAAAAATAACAAAATATACGAAAATTGATGGGCGGTCAATAATTTCAGATGAATTAATTTGCATATATAAAGCCAATTTTTCCTAAATTTCAAAAAAAAAAAAATTTATATACATACATAAATACAAACACATATACTTTTGTATAAATTTTTATAAATGCAACACACTTCATTCGACATGATCTTAAAAAAAATTGTTTTTGTTATAACAAACGGACTACACACTAACAAATTAAAACACCAATATTCTCCGCTGTAAAATGTGGCGTGTGAATTTTTTGTATATTTTTTTTTATGATATTGGAAGGATAGTGAAAATTAAGTATGTATGTATGTATAAATTGTATATGTATTATTGTATATACAAGGTGAATGAATGAGAATAGTATTAAAAGAAAGAAGTGAAAAAAAAAGTATAGCGGCCGCGATGATCAAAATTAAATTTTTGTGATAATTGGCTAATTAAGAAAACTGCTTATTGGTTTTTCATTAAAGAAAAAAAACAGAAAATAAAATTGTTGATTTTTTTTTTACTTTTCTTAATTTTATTTTCCAATGAATATGGTAATCATGGGGTTTTTATATATATGTACCAATTAATAAACTAATTGACTTAAATTATGTACCGGAGTTTTTGATTATATTTTTATAATTTTTAATTTTTTATTATTATTTTTAAATGCATTTTATGTTTTTTTTTATGAAATAAAGTGGTAATTTTTTTTTAAAAATTATAATCTAATTAATATTTTATTACTAAATTTGAATAAGAAGTGGGACATCCATAGTTTTATTTCTTATGAAAATAGGCAACACTTAAATTTATAATATTGTTTAATTTAAAATTTATATAAAAGAGTTAAATTTGCCTGTGCTAGAGCAAAATTATCTTATGTCACAATTTGCAAAGTAAAGATCGAATCCATTACCAATTAAACAATATTCTTGAATAATACAAAATATATATATTTTCCATAGAATGTACATATATATAAGGCCTGACCTGATAATCACGGGGTAGTAGTAGCAAAGTGGCATATTTGTGCTATTTTGAGTGCGGTAAACCTGCTGCACCTGCCATGTCAACTAACTAACCAAAAAAATGTACATTTAGAAAATTTTCATATGGAATTTAATTAAAAATTCTGTCTATAATTTCAATTCGAAATGTTCAGTATTCTTATTTCCTGTTGCTTTCCCTATATCGCATTTAAAAAATTGAATAAATTTATTAAATTTTAAAATTAATTAAATCTGAATTTTTCATAAATATATTCGTTCATATTTTTGGCTGATAAACGGAAAAAATAATGTGCATAAACACTAATTTGCTGAATTGAAAATTTATTATAAAGGTAAATGATATACATACACAAGCAATTTCCCCTTCATCGCGCCACGACTAATACTCGTAAAATGCAGATATTTGAAGAGCATGAAGTCTAATATTTAATAAATTTTTCTTTACTGTTCTATTCCATAAATGGCTCACTCAATAATTATTAATAAACGCTTTTATGTATGCATTTATTTTAATTAATATTTTTTTTTTTTAAATAAAAATTTTTTAATTTAGAATCGTAATATTTAATAGATCTAGTTTTAATAGATTTTATTTATTAAAAATTTGTTTAGAATTTTAGATGTTAATTATTGTGAAATATTA